TGCAGCTCGAGGCGGATCACGAATTAATTTACCCATTTGGGTCTCGTAGCCAAACTTGAGCCAAAATGGCTTGAGCCGTAGCCATTTAATAAGGAACCCCTAAACCCTAAACCATAAACCCTTGGTAATTATTTAGGCCCCTGCGTGAGGTCATTGGTTCGGCTCGAGGCTTCAAGCCAAAGAGCAGACTCAAAGGGAAAGCCTCGAGGGGTACTGGTTTACGGTTTAGGGTTTTAAGGTTTAGGGTTTAGGGCTTTAGGGTTTTAGGGTTTAGGGTTTAGGGTTGAGACGGGGATCGCCTGGAGAGGATTTGTGGAATCATTGGCCGGTCCCCTGCAGGGAGGGTAATGTAGAAGCCTGAAGAATTACCAATAGTATTCTGGGCGTTCCTTCGTATAATTTCAGTATAATGTACCCCATTCTAATTATTAAGGCCTACATGTTCGCGACGCAGTCAAGAACCTCGTTGGGGAGCTGGGTTTCGAGTTTAGGACTCAGGCCAGGTTCCGTGTCTTCCCCAAAAGGTCCCCAGCATCTACATGTTGAGATGCTTACCCAAACCATAATTGTAATTCCTTGCATGGAAACCCTGCTCTGCCTTAACTTCTGATCAACCCTAAACCCTAAATCCTAAACCCTATGTCCTGAACTCTACACTCTGGGCGCGTCGAGCAAGTGCCTCGACCAGCTTCGAGTGATCGAAGGTGTACCTGACAACGTCGCCAGACGAGCCTATGGTTCTGGGATTTGTGTATATGTAAATATAAAGAAACAGACAATTTTAAAATATATGCCTGTATAAACATATGTCCATGCACATATCATGTGCTAATATGTGTCCAGTAGTTGAGAAGGAAAATGTGCACAGATGGTCTCTCAGTTTATCAGAATTGGCATGAGGCTTCACTACTTTGATTCTGCTCCTAAATTTGGGTGAGCCCGCAATGCTGTCGTTGTTGTGCTGGAGGGATGGTCGTGTGGTCATGCCTGTGCCGTTGCAAGCACAGTTGTGGCCGCACCCGTTCCGAAGCAAGGGACATGGAAGGCGAAGGTCATGCTCACCGTCTAACAAACAGCTCATTCGGAAAGACACAGGACTCAATAGCCTTGGCAAACCTATCAATCAAATGCTATATACATACTGTATACCATAAAGACTACATCTTACAACACACAACACAACAATGACAGCTTCGACATGTTCCAATTCGCAAGCCCAAGCTCCACTCTACGGCACCATTTACTTTACTGGGTCTTCGTTGAGAGTGAAGGAACCCACATAATTAGCATGGAAAGGAGCCAAAAACGAGCTTGCGAGCTCCTTGGGTGCCTAGTGGGACCAGCTTTGCAACTCAGGCGCGATGAGAAGCAAAGGCCCATCAACGCTTTCAAAGCGGCGTAATGGCTGCGCGGATAGCTAATGCCGTCGGCTGCTGCTGCTACCTCATCGACTCGTGCCTGAACCACGGTCACTAAAGCCACTTTCTCACACTCCTCCGGAAGTTTGCGGCCTGAGCTGTAAGCCTCTTCCAGCGCCTAGGCCTAGGAGTAAGTACGAACCATGATTCCAGTTCAGCCTGCCAGGATAACGACAGCCTACCCTTTTAGGATTCCTTACTATGGTTTCTATATACAATTCTTTCAAGAGGTTGGTCTTCTGGGCCACAGGAGACGCCTCGAAGTGGAGCATAGCCCGAAAATGGCTACAGGTGCGGCCGACAGTTCAGCCTAAGGTCGATGATGTAGGGGCCCTAACAATTACCTATTCTATTTTTTGTGGGGCTCGCTTTCAAAACTATAGTTTTCGGGCTCCTTATGATCATTCTAGTTTTGGGGGTTCCTTATGATCATCATAGTTTTGGGGGCTCCTTATGATCAGTATAGTTTTGAATCCACTGAGGGCTCCTTATTATAATATAGCATACCCCCAAACCCTAGTCTTATTATTAAGGCCCCTACACCCTAAACCCTTATTGTAGCCCTTATAGAACTTTTTAAGAAACCCTTTAAAGGAACCCCCAAAACCTATTCTAACTATAAAGGCCCCTACATTAAGCAAAGCTCCGAGCGTGGCTTTCCCCAATCTTCGGTCGTTCGGCTTCATCTGGCTTTCTTTGTACATAGGATTTAGGATTTAGGGGTTAAGGATGTTGGAGTTGATGGCTTAGGATTTAGCAGTTAGAAGTTTTTTTTGCCTTTTACTTAGCCGGACGAGCCCACATTGCAGGGTTTAGGGTTTAGGTTTAGGGTCTTTAAGTTTAGGGATGTTTGGGGTTTCAGCGGGGTTAACAGTGTTTGCAGGCCTTTTGAACGGGTTTGGCACCAATGCACCCTTGGAGCGAGTGCGTGCAATCCAAAACAAGAATCTATGGTGATTGTTTCTCTCCCGTTCTACAAGTAGGACACGCAAGATTGAAACTAAACGAAATTGAACAGACCATGCTAGAAGTGTCCTATGGTATCTTCAGCGGGGTTGCGGGAGCTTAACTGAGAGTTTAAGATTCCGGGTAGAGGGCTTAGAGTTTGGTGAGGGGTGCAAAATAGTAAGCAAAACTGGAACATATAAACAAAAACCAGATAGAATACAAAACACTCTGCTGACACACACACGCTCGCGCGCCTTCGACCAAATTGTACGGTATGGAGGTTTTGGTTATTGAGTTTCCACTGTGTGCCATCACATCTTTCCTGGCAAACCGTTCCGACTTCAACATAACAACAAGCACGAAACAGAAACAAGCGCAACATCATGTGGATAGTTGTTACAGTTTGACTTGCTATCACTGCCGCAGTCATTTCTTGTACTTGCGCTAGAATGCCAGACTGTAGTACCATCGCGTGGCCATGTGCCTACTGATGATATGCCGAAAACCAGTCGTTGCCCGCAACGCGGAGATGCACGCTGGACCCTGATCTAGCAGACTCTGCCTATAGTCTCCCTTGTAGTTCCTTCTTTTTTGGTTTAACCAATTAAGGATTCTATAAGGTATCCCCAAAAAGGAACTACAATGGAGACTATAGGTAGACTCTGATTTTGGCCCCCGGCCGACTTCGCGAGGAGACGGTGTGTAGGCAGAGTTGCGCTGAGCCTTGAAGACACCCCAAAGCTAAAGCAAAGTCTGAGGAGGCAGGGAGACGGCAGCATTGTTGAGCCGATTTTCTACTTGGTCCGGCGCAATGACACCAGGCATGTTTAGGTTTTAGACACTACCGGCCGCGGTCTTTTACAAGCATGGGGCTCTGTCTTGCCATGCAGCACACCTGCCGACGAAGAAGGTTTCTTGTTGCAAGCATTATTCACGCTAAACCTTCTGAGCTGGTCTTGGATTGTAGATTTGGGGTCCAAAAACTGAACATCAGTCCTCCACCGCAGGTTGGTTGATTGATGTTCGAGGCTACTTCACGGGGTCAAAGGCTGTGGGAGGTAAACTACAGCTTAGCCGTCCTGCTGAGATTGCAAAATTTACGCACAACATACCACGTCTGTTTCCGTGGCCTAAACCCCCCAAACTTCCAACCTCTTTCCGGAATCCCGGCGCTCAGCTTCGCACAACCCAGGATGGAGCAGATTCCGCGGCATCTGAGGCAAGCTGGACAACCTGCTGCGGACCACATGATTCCTGTTATTGCTCTTAGAACTCTTGTTGTGATTATTCAACCCTAAACCCTAAACCATAAACCGTTCTTGTTATTAGTCTTACCACTGCTGTTCTTCGTATTTCGTTACTACACTTATTGCTGCTGTAAGCTTTGGGCTGACAAATCCTAAACTTCATGTTAACATCGTAAAATCTAAAACCCCAACATGGTACCCCTGAGCTGTACCGATTTCTGAGGGTTGGAAACTCTTGGGCTTGAAGTTCATCTCGGAACCACCATCTCCATCGACCAGAGAAGTTCCCTTCGCGCGAATCTGATTGTAATAAGGCAGTGAAGAGCTTGTGGGCTTCATGGTTGAATCGCCCTTTTTTATGATTATTAAGGCCCCGAAACCCTCAAACCTAAACCTATGCATATAACAAGGCACTGAAAAGGGAATAATGTAGGGGCCTTAATAATTAGAATGGGTTTCGGGGGCTCCTTATTATAATTATAGTATAATACACCCCAAAAACTATTCTAATTATTAAGCCACTATAGCACCAATTCGAAGCAAACCTCGCCATTCCTCGAAATCTTGGTCTGCGGCTTCCTTTTGAAGCCCAGGGTGTGGTACCAGGTGGTATGACGAGGTGAGGACCTGTCTGCATCAGGAATGGCTTCTTGGGTTTTTTGGGGTTGGGATTCCAAGGTTTAGGGTTTCGACTCTCATTCTCGCACAAGGAAGGCAGGCAAGGCTCCACACAATTGGGGTCTAGGAACAGAAAGGTTGGCTTTGGTCTTCGGGTCAATCCCAATCCCAACCGTGGACTAGGGTTCAGGTGTTACGGTGATCTATTTAGTACTTGAGTCGGGGCCAGAAAGCTGGAACATCGTTGTTCTGGTGCCCTTAAGGCAAAGTATGGGGGATCCTAGCCGTAATCATCCCAAACCAGTGTTTTCAAGTTTCTGGGCTTCCCTATCTAAAGGAGCCCAAAACCCTATTCTAATTATTAAGGCTTTAAGGCCCGTACATTACAGGGCCATGTTTAGGGATTTCATGTTCACGCTTAAAGATGCGGAGCTCCACTCAAACGAAAGTTTACAAACGTGTATTTTTTTGCGCACGCAGGCGTGAAGCTCAAAGCGGCTTTGTTGCCAAATCCGAACCTCCGCGCAACGTCCTGCTGACTTCATGCAAAATCTTATGGTAAGTAAGCCCACACTGCTACCCACAGACCCCCACACGGGGAAGGACGGAAAAAGGCCGCGACCGTGAACGCTTATACAGGCATCATGCTGGGAGCCAAGCTGGCTCAAAGCCCCTCCTCCGTTGAACCTGCAGTCAGACAGGAACTTGAGAAGTTTGGGAGTTTGGGCGTAGGGTGCGGGAGCTTCTTAGCTGGAGAAATAGGATTGAAGAGATCGGGCTTACAAACAAACACAAGGCAGTATTTTTGGGGGTGCTGGGTTTAGAACTTGAGTTTGAACACGCCCAGAGCAAGAAGGAGGTTCTCTCTCTCTCTCTCTTTATTTCTTTCTTTCTTTATTTCTTTCTCTCTCTCTCTCTCTCTCTCTCTCTCTCTCGCTCTGCCATGCCATCCTCGAGGTCAACTTTTTGGATGATGTTAGGACCAAAAACTGCGGTACTTGCTCTACTGCTGAGACAATGGGTTTCAGATGCTGGTTAAAAGCCCAGGTCAGGATCACATCGTCGAGGGTCCAATTCTGAAACTGTGAGCGTACGCAATCAACCTGCGGCTCAGCATACAAACTACATGTGTATATGTAAGTGTATGCATACATACATACATACATACAAACAAACATACATACATAAATAAACATGCATAAAGGCATACATCATTGTAGACATAATTACATACATACCTACATACCTACATACCTACATACCTACATACCTACATACATACATACATACAGACAGACAGACAGACAGACAGACAGACAGACAGACAGACAGACATCCTTTTGTTGTTTTGTTGGGGGCTGGGTTGTTTGGGGATCGCCGAGTCCCACAGGTGATGAGGACGTCTTTGACTGTCGCAGAACGGGATTGCTTGTCTGCCCAGGCATGCCGCCACCGTAAGGGCGAAACTGAACCCATGCTCTGATCATCAAGGATAAAAGCCTAAACCCTAAAACCCTAAGCCGCACAAGCCTAAACCCCTAAGAAATCCCAACTTTCAATTTAGGCCTTCGGGGCCTAACCCCCAGAGACCTCCTTGGGTTTCGGGTTCAGTCATGGTTTTTTCGTATCGAAGGGTCTAGATTGGTTCCCCAATGACTTCCAAAGTGAGCGCTGCTATCTCCAACAGGCATACTCCAAAGTTCTGTCGCGCGACCTAGTTCCCGAAGCCTCGCTTGCATCATCTTTGAACCCCAAACGCTTTGAACCAAACATTGCTGGGAACTTCCTCAACTGATACACCCTAAACCCTTAAAGTGTACACTTTTCAGCACGGACTGAGGTGCTGGCCAGCGCCTATGCAACCCTCACCCCGTCTTAAGGCAAGAGAAAACAGGAAAAGCTGTGGATGACAACCCTAAACCCTTACTTCCCCAATAAGCCAGGTAAATAAAAGGCTAAACTTTCAGCTTACTGCTAAATAATAAGAACCCAAAAAGTTGAAAGGTTGGGTATTGGGGAACTAAGAACCCGAAGCTCACTGAGGCGCCTTATAAATGTCCCCCCCGCCATTCCCAGGTTCGATCCGCCTCGGCCATAGGTGGCGGCCAGGGGGGAAAACAAGGGCTGCGATAATAAGGGTTTAGGGTTTAGGGTTTAGGGTTTAGGGTTTAGGGTTTAGGGTTTAGGGTTTACCCTAAACCCTAAGCAAGGGCTACTATAATAAGGGTTTCTAAAACTAGGGATGCTACAATAACTGCAGTTCATACAAGCAGGACTATAATAAGGGTTACTATAGTAAGGGTTACTGTCGTACAAGGGTTACTGTAGCAGCAATGGTTGTTAGTACAAGGATGACTGTCAAGAGTGGTACCAAAGGGGGTGCCGTAATACGGCTTGTGATAATCGGATCAGGTTACTTTAGGGGCCCTTTTCAGCACTGCCGAGGGTTTCCGCTTCAGGATTTGAGGGCCTTGGGAGCCCGTAGGATGTCAGAAGTATAACCCTATAAACCCTAACCCCTAAACCCCTTTCTCACAAGGGACTCGTTTGCTGCCCTTACTGCCCAGCTTGACCNNGATGCGAGACCGGCCACTTCGCGGCTCCAAGACCCCTTAACCCTAAACCCTAAACCCCTAAACCCTACACCCTGAACCCTAAACCCCTGGATAGCCCAGGTTTCGAAGAAGGCTTGGCGCAAAAGACCCTGGCCTTGAAGCATTGCGGTTTAGAGGCGGATGCGATTTGGGGTTTAGGGTTTAGGGGTTTAGGGTTTAGGGAATCTGGTTTTGAAAGGCTTTGGTTTCGGATGTTGCAGAGACACCCCCCAACCCCCCACTCACACAGTGCACGTGGGGGTTGAGGGCGGTTTAGGGTTGGACTCGGATTGTGGGTTGGGAGCTGGGACCGCTTCGCGACTGCTGCCGGAAACCTGCCGCGAGCCCCGCAGCCCCCAAAACACTGAGAATCGTGAAGACCTTACAAACCCAACACCATTCCGTGAATCCCTGAAGCCCTGACAGCACTACAAAAACCGAAAGATCCTAAGAACGGAAAACATTCCAACAAATCTCTAGGAAAAAGCCTCCCGCATGGATTATCTCTCCCCACATAGACCCCTACATAGCAGGCCTTGTACGTAATGAAGATCCCGCCAGAAAACGTACCCTGCGCTACTGGGGCTCCTATTTTGCCTCTAAGCCCCACACCCTCTTTGCTCAGCCCTCTAAACCCTGGTTTCGTCCGTGGGTGTAGGGCTTAGGGCTCTTTGGGTTTAGGGTTCTTTGGGCTCCTGGCGAATAGCCATGCTGGATGGCATGCTCAATGACCTGGAGTTGCCCAACTCGCAAGAGTTATCAGGGTTGAATAGGGCCTTAAGAAAGGAACAAGGGGTTTGGATTTTGTCAGGGAAGATGTCCAAACATTCATAGGTTACCTTGTTGCTATATAGTCGGGGTAGTTTGACGATGACCGTAACAGCTCATGCAATGCTAAGACATACCCTAAACCCTAAACCCTAACCCTAAACCCTAAACCCTAAACCCTAAACCCAAAGGGTTTAGGGTTTAGGGTTAGCATTGACACTTGCCAACACTCGTTGGCTGACTCTCCAGAGCTTGGCTTGTACGTTAATGTACAAGTACCGCTGCCCTTGCTTGGGCTTTGAAGTAACTAACTCTAAGTGTCATGAAAAGGAACATATCACATGTGTTGTATTCAGATTTTTTAAAATACTAATAATGGCAAGTCTGAACTTTGAAGTAACCAGGGAGAAAAAAGTATAGACTTTTATTTCATGATGGTCCTTTAAGTAACAGGTACCCCAAAACAGTATTAAAGTATGGTACTCCAAAGCCCAGTTGGGCCTGTGAGTTTTCCTGGTGGGCGAGGACAGGGTTGTAGGTCTTAGACATACTCGCGGCTAGCGGTTTCAGCGTGCAGCGCTTTACGGCTTGATGGTTTCGGGCTTAGTTATTGCTTTGAAGCGCAAGACGTCATGGATGAGGGAACATGTCCTGACCCTTTCTGCCAGCCAGAGCCACTGTAGCATCTTACACAATTCTCAAACCAGAAGCTGGCAAATCAACCCTAAACCCTAAACCCTAAACCCTGAAGCCTAAACCGATGCCGCGGCCTTGTAGTAGCAGCATTCGAAATGCAGAAATGGGGCCTTCTCAGGATCGCGGAACCTCAGACCCGGCTTCGTTTCGTCGATTCGACATGGTTGCCGCGGGTTCAGGGGGGTTTAGGGTTTAGAGTTTAGGGTTTAGAGTTTAGGGTTTGATTTCGGGGTTTAGGGTTTAGAGCTTAGGGGCGTTTAGCGTTTAGAGTTTAGGGGTTGAGTTCGTCGATTCGACGTGGTTGCCGTTGGTTCAGGGGTTTAGGGCTTTGGGGGTTTAGGGTTTAGAGTTTACGGGTTTAGGTCTAGGGTGCATTGTTGCTGCAACAATCAGAAATACAGCGACGAATTCGCTTGTGCAGCAGGTATAACTAGTAGGAGCTGCTGGAATAGTAGTAGTAGAAGTAGTAATAATGGTAGTAGTAGTAGTACTAGTAGTAGTAGCAGTAGCGGTAGTAGTAGTAGTAGTAGTAGTAGTAGCAGCAGGAGCAGTAGTAGTAGTAGTAGTAGTAGTAGTAGTAGCAGTAGCAGTAGCCGTAGCCGTAGCCGTAGCCGTAGCAGTAGCAGTTAGTAGTTAGTAGTTAGTAGTTAGTAGTTAGTAGTTAGCAGCAGCAGCAGCAGCAGCAGCAGCAGCAGCAGTAGCAGTAGCAGTAGCAGTGGCTGTGGCAGTAGCAATAGCAGAAGTAGCTGTCGTCGTCGTCCTCGTCTTCGCAGTAGCAGTAGTAGTATTT